TATGGTGTCGGATTTTGTGGGTTTAGGGAGTTGAGGGTTTTACGGTTTAAGTTTAGGGTTTAGGGTTTAGGAGGGTTTAGGGTTATGGTGTCGGATTTTGTGCTTAGGGTTTAGGGTTTGGGGTTTGGGGATTTGGGTGATTGAACTAAACTAAATTGATTATGGTTAGAATTCGGGGATTTGGAGATAACAGAATTAGGTACGTCGGATGTTAATAGTGAGTAGAAGGGTTAATAGTGAATTGAATCTAATGTAATCTGTGGACAATTTAACTTGAGCAATCCTATTATACATTTTAAATTACTGAGTATGAGTTGAATCTAATGTAATATTTTCAATTCCATTTTCGTGCCACTCCCCATATATTCCAATCGTTAAAAGCTCCATCTGCAGTTATCGTAAAATACCCACATATTTTATTTATTAAATGTACAATCAAAATATTAATAATAATAAGCACCAATAATATGAACATTAAAATATACTTATGGTTGTTTCTCCAATTATTAATTATTAATATTAATATATACTTTGGATAACACCAAAAAGATCTCCTTACCCAAAAAATAATAATAATCCTTCTCTTTTTTGAAACAAATCAGACCAGCATAATGATAAACAACTTTATCCAAATTTTTCCTTATTTTTTGTAAAAGTTGTCCTCATTTGTCAGAACAATAAATTTCCAAGTAGTTACATCACTACTAAAGGTCTTTCCTTTGACCTCTTCCCCTATCCACACCACTCAACCTTAAAATCCCTTTCCTTTCACATTCAATCCATCCATGGCTCACGGGCAAAACCCCAGGGTTGTGTTAACTATTCCAAGTGATGGTCGACGCCGAGTATGTGACACAGTCCTCCTGCACCCCGGCCAACCCCTTTTGTACTTCACCCCTTATATTCCTCAAGTTAGGCCTAAACTTGATTTCAATAGCATTAAGTACTACGACAACCATAAAGATTTGATTGGAAATAAGGAGGTTGACCCACAACTGATCCGCGCTGAGCTGGTAATGGATGACATATAGAGGTTTGCTGCTACCAAGGTGTCGCGGATGATGAAGCTTCCCAACGGCAAAACAAAGTCATCATACCTACCTCTCCTGTTGTACATTCACGGTTATCTCCAGCACCAAGGGTCATCGGTGTTTGTAAAATTGTTTTACAAGCATCACCAATTTAAAGAGAGTGAGGTTGTTCCAAATGACATAGTTCCTATCTTCGGCCTTGTCCCTACTTTCAACGCTGAGACAACCTTCACATATGCTTACCCGATTCGGGAAAGGTATATTTTCATTGGGGCGATAACAAATTCAATTCATGTGACGAAGATTCTAGCGCAATTGTCTGTGTTACACAACTCTATATTCTCAGGGGTGACCAAAAGAAAGGGGGTCCATTACCACCGTGTGTCACTATCTGGGGAGCTGCCCAAGGAGGGGCAAAATCGATCAAGTGTTTCAAGAAGGTTCGTATGTTCTTATCTGGAATGCGACCGACCTTCTTAGGCCATCGTTTCTTGATAATTTTAGGATGTTGCATTCTAGTTATAATCCGATTTTAATCATTATCACTGAAGCTAGGCCAAAATTTGTTAAAATTTGGGAGTTAATTAAACAATTACTCTGATCATTCAAGTATTCATCTAGTGGGAATGGTGTCGTTGGTGGTGTTGTGTTACTTTGGACGAACGCGGCTGAGCCGTATATCAGAATGTGTAGCTCGTGTTTCACTGGATGTGTTATGGGCGTTGAGGTTGTGGTAAGAATATTCCTAAAAATTTCTTTTAAATTTTCCTAAAAAGTACTTCTAAATCATAATATTTTATGATTTAATTATTTTGTGATAATTATTTGATGATAAGGAATCATTTCATTTGGCAATCATAGGTACAACAATGTTAATTATCTTATGATAATGTTAAGCATTTTATTTACCAATCAATAAAATTATGCCGGAAATAAATTTACCTTCATTATAAAATAATGCAAAAGTTAGGTCATTAAAATTACTAATGTAATTATGCTTAGAGTTAGTATGCTTAGAGTTAGAACTTACTCACTTTAACCATTTATAAAAATTATAAGATACATTTTTAGTTAATACCCTTTCTTTTCCGTTATACAGCCTGGTGTTAACACCCCTCCTCCGAGGTAGGATGCTTTCGACGGAATTGATACGGACGATGATTATGATTACATTGGAGGGTGGTTATTTGGATCAGGACTTGACATGGATCCATCAATCCATGATGAAGGGTGGTGCTGAAGGTGATGGGCTCAACGTGGACTAATGATGTTAATGTTAGTGTATGTCATTGCTAAGTGAACTAATTATTGTATTAGTGTCATTCCTGTTTATCATGAACACGTTTTTTCATTGATGTAGTTTGTGAACCTATTAATTTGGATGATTCTACTGTGCTCAATCTTAAAATGACTAAATGACTATCATTATTCGTAATTATTTTTACGTTTGGTCAAACTTATATAAAGATAAATAAAATCAATATATTGTTCTTCCATTGTTCTTTATCAATGAAAATTACCACCGGGACCATAATCTTTGTCCCGTAATAAACTCGCATATCAATGAAAATTGAAAGTATGCAACGATAATTTCATCAATTTGAATTCATTTGATAATCGTTCATGCGAATCTAGGTTCACATTTAATCCTAAAACAAGATATGTTAATTGGACAATTACATACATCAAGGGATGTAAAATCGGCCATTATAAGCCAAAATTAAAATAATTTATCAATCAATTATACATTACATGGGGGTCTGTGAGGCAAATCATGAATCACATATAATTATTTTAAAAAAAATTATTATAAACCCAATATATTTTATTTTATGTAGATTATTTCAATTTTTATTTTGTCTTGCATAGTCGAATATAGATTACTAATAGAAATAAAGAATTTTTATTTAGTCATCCATATACTCGAATTTTTTAGATCGATTTTTGCAGTTAAAGTACTTTCATATTTATTTTATGTAGATTAAAAAAATAAATATATTACTATTATTGATTTTGCAGTTAAAGTACTTTCATATTTATTTAAGTATTTTTATTAGCTCATTCATCGTAAACTACCGCTATTAATTTTTAGTGTTTTTATTATTAATTTATATATTTGTTTTGAAGGTATATTATTAAACCTATACTTATATACCTATACTTTTATTAACTCGCAAAGTACATTTCTATCATCATATTACCTTAACAAGTAATAAAAGCTAGTAAGGTACTCAATATGTTGGGACCTATTTTATTTACATTCTTAATGTACATGGAATTATTTTGAGTTGCATTTATTTTGGAAGACAATCCTAAAAATTGCTGTCAAAATACTCACTCATTAGGCGCATGCTAGGCTATGTACGCATTGACGTGTGGTGCTAACATGTCTTGTGTTTTAACAGATCATGCCGAATATAATGGATCAAAATAAGTCTTATGCCTTATCAACATGTCTTTTGTGCTAGATCATGGTCTTTTTTTTTTTTAAAGGCTAAATTAGAAAAAAAAAACACATGTTAAAAGACCTAATTTTGTTTTTAACACCTTAAGATTTCGAAGTTTAATTATAACACCTGTTAAAAAATAAAAATTTTGCTTTCACCACCTAAATTGGAACAACGTTAGAGGATCTGTTAGCTGGGCCCACAATAACGGCTATTTTTTCCAAACTGCTTTATATAGTTACGACATCCTTCACTAATGTAGAATTGTTGAGCTGATTACACAAAATTGCTTCACATTTTGCGAATTCTGACTAACAAATTGGCGAAATTGTTTGATTTTACCATCATTGTTTGGGGGACGTAGATATCAAATCAGGTAATTGCGTCAATAGCACTTTAGAAACCCTAATTTATCTTTCAAAAATGAGGCGTAAATTAATCTATATGTTGTTGACTTAAATGCATAATTCAGGTCGCATCTGGCAATAGTCATGTAATTCGTAAATAGTTAGGGTTCATTGTGTGTTAATTGTGCTGTAATTTGGGAGAAAATGAAATTAGGGTTCATTGTAGAAATAATTTGGGGGTTTTGATTTGTAGGAGTGATTGTTTAATTCCCTTGGTTCAATTGTATTTTTTTATGGTTTTGCTTATTATGGATGGCAAATTGGTGCAGGAAATGTCTTCTACAAGTTTCTCACCTTCAAAGGAGAAGAAGTGCAAATGTGGTGTTCCCTTTGCAAAGCTTACCAGTTGGATAAGGGAGAACCCTGGTCGTAGGTTCAGAACATGCAAGTTCTACGATCCTGTAACTGAGAGCAGAGGTTGTAAAGCATTTGAATGGTGGATGAACAAGATGGGACAGCCTGGCAAACAGAGGTGATCAACAATTTGTTGTTAGATAAGAAACTGTTGAAGGGGGAAATTAGTGATTACAAGAGGGAAGTTGATGATCTTGGTGGACAGTTGAGGTGTTTGCTGAATGAAGTGGACAGGCTGAAAATGAAATGCAAGGCTTTAAACTCTGACAGGAATAAGATGAACAGAGAGATGCATGGAAGGAATGCTAGATCAGATCACTCTGTTCTTAGTCTTGCTGTTGGGATTAGTTTGGTCATATTAGTGATCCTTCTTATTAGGGGGTTTGTAATGCATTAAGTATAACTTGTAATGCTAGTAATTGCATGAAACAGTAATATGGTAATGTAATGATTTATAAGTGGCAGTGAACCACTATTGCAAGCAAACTAATGTACACAATTATGAAAGCAATGAATTAAGTAAGTACCTAAGTAGTTGATATTGCATTTAAGTTGTTGATCAAATTTGTTGTTGCAGTGCCTAACAAAATTGGCTGGTAAAGCCTTAAAGCAAAGTATTAATTTAACAAAACAGGATCCTTGTCCTAAACCCAAAAGTAAAGCTACAAATATTGCAACTGATTGTTCAGAAAATACAACCAACAACTAAAGTTCAGAAAAACAATTCAAACATCATTGTGTCAGCCCTCCTTGTCTGGAAGTCAGCAGCTTAGCCCTCCTTGTCTGCACTCCAGTAGCATTGGGTTCAGGTTGGCTGGAAGAGGGGTGGTGTGATGCTTGGCTTGTGGCTGCCCTTGTTGACTGTGTGAACCTTTCCTCTTACTCAATGGTTCACAGCCAGGTTGCTCTTGGGGAAAAGTCCTATTCCCAATGCTGTTTGGACCAGCCCCTATTGCACTCTATTTATTAAACACAAATACCAATAAACAAGTATCAACATCCAATTTCATCACAAATTTTAAAAGAAAAGTTACAAATCCAACAGCATACCTTCTTAGCAGCTTTGATCTCCCTCTTCTTCCTTTGCTCAACTACCCAAGGTGAATTTAAAGGAGGCCTTCCTGCAGTTCTCTGCTCAGTTGGTTCAGGTTCATGTGGGCCCTTGCAAGTCTTGGGATAGTGGCCAAATCCACCACAAATCCTACACTGACTTTTCCTCCTCTTTCTTCCCTGCTCCCCTCCTGTTGCAGATGTTCCCTCCCCAGGTTCCAGCTTCCTCTTCTTCTGTTTAGGTCTTCCAGGCTGCTGTTTGAATGCTGGTGGATGAGGCTCTCTCATGTTCACTCTCTCCCAATGCTTTGGGCCTGGCATAGGTTGAATTGCAGGCTCATATGCTGCTCTGTAAGTGTCCATAGTGTAATAGGGGTGGACAAACTGCTCAGCATCAACCCTCTGATCCATTATGCATGCAAATGCATGAATACATGGGATGCCTGTTAATTGCCAGTGATTGCAGGAACAAGACCAATTTGGCAAGTCAACTAGAACCTGGTCATCATTCAGCTGCACTTCATAAGTGTCATCCCTGGCAGCTTCAATTATGCAATTCCTAGCCACATAGCTCATCCTCTGAAATAGCTTATGCACATATGGAGTGATGTTGGTTGTGATTTCCTTGGAGTCCTCCCACTTCTCATTATTTCTCCTCATCATGTACCTCCTCATCCATTCCATTTGGGTGAGGATAGGTTTGTCTCTTGCATCTCTGATAACAGAGTTGAAAGTCTCACACATGTTGTTTAGTAACATGTTGGACCTGCAACTGTCACTGAATGCATGTCTGCACCAGTGATGAGTGGGGATGTTCTCCAAATAATTGTAAGCATCCTCATCAAGCTCCCTAATCTGTTGCATGGCTATCTGAAACTCAACCTACAACCACAATAGGAACATTATCATGAAAGAATAACATACACAACTGTTGTTGCTCTTATTTTGCTTTTATACACAACAGGAACATTATTACATGAAGTAGGTACATGAACAAGAACAATATCATGCATTTACTTATTCAAAATAATTTAAGGTCACCTAGAGACTTACAAATGTTGTTGCTCTTGCAGCACTCCAAAAGAGCTCTTTGAAAACTGATCCAGTGAACTTCAACTTGAAATTTGCCCAAATGTGCCTAACACAGAACCTAGTCTCTGCATTAGGCACAACTTCAGACAGAGCTTCAACCAGTCCCTGTTTAACATCATCAACAATTACTTGTCACACTTCAAACAATAAAGAACAGGACAGAAAATAAGACTACAATAATCAAAACAATATTACCTTCTGCCTGTCTGACATGAAGGTGAAGCCTGCCCCATCTGCACTTCCAATGCATTGCATCAAGGATTCCAGAAACCAGACCCAAGTCTCCCTGTTTTCAACCTCACAAGTTGCCCAAGCAATGGGGTAAATGCTGTTGTTCCCATCCTTGGAGACTGCAACTAAAATCTGGCTTGGATAACCTCCTTTCAAGTGGCAGTCATCCACCCCTATAATTGGCCTACACCCCTTCAAGAACCCATCCTTCAAAGGCCTTAAACAAATAAACATCCTCATAAACAAGGGAGGCTCAGGCTTTTCAATGCCATCAATCACAACATTACAACCAGACCCAGGGTTGTATTTCATTACAGCCTTCCCATAATCCTATACCCTAGCATATTGCTCTCTTGCTGAACCAAAAATGATCAACTTAGCTCTACATCTTGCCATCCAAGCCCTGTAGTAGGTCACTTCTACCCCCAAGTCATGAAGCACCCTATCCTTGATTTGCTTAACCTTCCATGATGGGTTAGTTCTGAACTCCTCAAGATACCTCTCAGCAATGAACTCTGTTGTGACCTTCTTGTTCTCCCTGCTTCTCACACATTTATGCTCCAACTTCATGGTTTTTATTTGCCAAGTCTGTTGTCTTTTTAACTTAGTAGCATGGATCTTGAAACTACACTTCACTCCACCCCTGCATATACACAAAGGCATCCTACTTGTCTTTGTGTCAAACTTGCACCCACACCTATTCCTACACTGAATAGTAATCCTAGTACTATCATTGTGTAAAAAATAGTACTCATACCTATTCTGTATGGCATGCACTCTTAAAGCTTTCCTCAACACTGTAGCATTGCTAAACCTAAGCCTATGAACAAGTACAACAGGCTTTGAGAAGTCAGATTTGTCATTAAACCATGGACTTTTGTCCTCTTCATCAGATGAACCATCCAAGCTCCTTAGGTCATCTGATTCTCCCTCAATTTCTTCTTGTAGTTGTACCTCATTCACATCCAAGTTATCTGTCAACCTTGCCTTTGGATCCTTGGAAACCCCCTCATCATGTACATCAAACTGCTTCCCAAGACTTCTTGTTACCTTAGCTAAAATTTCTTCAGAATTCTGCACAAACCACCTCTCATCCCCACTGTCATACTCCTCCTCTCCAGGCTCCCAAGTTATGTCAATCTCACTCCCATCACTTGAAGAAAAATCATCTTCCCTCCCAGTCTCACTGCCCTCACTACTATCCTCAAAAATCAATCCTTTGCCTACAGATTTTTTTTTCCCTTTCCCTTATCCAACACCTTCACACTGCCAGAACCCCTTTCAAGCTTAGCTTTACCCTTTTGTTTCCCCTTACTCAACAACTTCCCTTTACCAGGAACCCCCTTAATCTCAGCAGAAACCCCTTCAACCCTTTCTATCCCCTGTCTAGATCTAGGTTTAGGAGATTCTTCACCCTCCCTCACCTTAGGCTCATTTTTGTTAATTCTTGGGCTCTTCCTAACTACAGCAGGCTTACCTGAACTTTTCTTCCCCTTTCTCTCAGCCTTTACTGGAGTGGACTGGGCCTGGATCTCATGTATGGGCCTTAATGTTTCATTAGCAGTCACAAATACTTCAACATACCCTTCCCCATTCACTGTCTCCAGCAGCCCCTTCACTTCCTCTTCATTTACTAACTCCCTTCTCCCTGTGTTAAAGGTCCTACCTCTTTCTTTATACCAAAGTCTGTAGTTAGGTGGGACATGGACATTAAAGTTCACAAACCCATGCACAGCAGCTACCCTCAAATAATGCAAATCTATCTTATCCACTACCACATCCCTCCTCCAATAACATAACCCACCACACCAACAAAGCAAATGCTTTGATTTTGACACTTGTTTAGTAACAAAAGCACCCCCTACTCTAAATACTATATCAATTAATCCATCTTCATTGTCGGCCATTTTTCTACCTAATAAACAAATGCAAAGCAAATCAATAAAACCCAACATAGCTAACCCCATTACACAGTCAACCGCAATACTTTAATCAACAAAATCAAACATATTTAAACCAACACAATGACAAACCAGTCAACAGTCAATAAAATCAATGATTTAAATTAAATAATTCACACATTACACCAAATCATACTTAATTTAATCAAATTCAACTTTAATTACAAATTAGCCCATTTTACTGTTCTTAGGGTTCCTAATTTTTTTTTTTCCCAAATTACCCTACTACACCCACACAAATGGCATAATGCAGCACACAGTACTTGTTGAAAACTACTTTAAAGGGTTCGAAAGGTACCTGTATTGGAATCTTACTCTTGTTGCTGTCAGAATCCACGAAAAAGTCCAAGCTTTTTGGATGTTGGAAATGGCTGACGGAATCTCGCTGACTTGTTTCGCTCCAATATTGACACCTTCTCTTCCAACTCAATTTCTCAATCACAACAATCAGTATAGGGTTTGAATGTTCGCAGTAATTTTGGTTGTTCAAGATTTGCAGACGAAATTCAATGAAGCAAAATTAGTTGGGTGGTAATAAATGACAGAGAAGATAAATTCGAATTGAAGGGGATGGAATTTGGAGGGTAAACGACTATGTGGGCCCCACCAAAAAATTCCGTCACAGTTTCTGTTATCTGGTGGTGAAAGCAAAATTTTTATTTTTTAACAGGTGTTATAATTAAACTTCGAAATCTTAAGGTGTTAAAAACAAAATTAGGTCTTTTAACAGGTGTTATTTTCTAATTTAGCCTTTTTTAAATGATTTTTTTTTTTTTGTTTTATTTTTGTTGGAACGATCCATGCCAAACTTTGATCCTCATTTTATTATGAGATGTTCCTCTCAAAAACAAAAATTAAATTTACAGTATTTATTATAAGTACAAATCCAAACATGATACTATCAATTCATACTCTATCTTTTGTTTTTCCTAATTTTATGATTAAAATTGAATATCAAGATTTATTATATTAACAAACTTTCTTTTGACTAGGTACTAATCCCCTCTATCTTATCTTGATGTTCATTATAAAATCATAAAATCAGTTTAGATCCCAAATCTACAATTATTACCAGCAACAAATACGTATTAATAACGTGATAATATCAAATTAGTTACTCATATACTAAATTAATCATATCGTATATTATACGTATGAACCAAATCTTGTTTTAAAATCAATCACACAAAAACTCAAAACAATCACATTCCAAATAGACTAATAATTAAAACTACAATCCATAATTCTAAATAAAAAAAATTCAAAAATCTACCAATATCAAAACATCCTGCATATCTACTTTAGCATCCGATATTACATCTAATTAACCAACTGGCCAACTCCCTAAACAACTAGTTGGCCCCTAAATTCATATTTACTTTTAACAAAAAATACCTTTATAAAGTTTAATTAATCTTAATCGAAACCATAAGCGCCATCATCACTTTGAGAGACTTCAGGAGAATGATAATTGTATGGATACCCAACATCCTCTTCCGATTTATCGTCCCTCGAATCGTCCTGCTCCTGAGCCTCCTCTTCTTCGTCCAATTGCTCCTCCTCTGATGCCCCCCCCTTCGTTCAATTGTTGTTGTTGCTGCCCCTGCTGCACCAACCCGGCATTATCTACCCCTTGCTGCCCCTCCTGCACCAACCCGGCATCATCTACCCCTATTGCAGGTTAATCCTATACTACTTCATCCTGGATAGCTACATTTATATCAATGCCCTGTTAAATTTGACCCTCATCATCGCTGATGTCCATATCAGCCTCCCCTCCTTTAACCCTAACACCAAAAAACCTCATTCACACTACTACACTTACCCCTACTTTTAGATGACTCACCGTGAAAGCCTACACATGTAGTCATTCTCACTGGTTCCTCATCACTATCACTATCAACTTCAATTGGAGTATGAAAGTTGCTTCCAGGCTTTGGTTCCTGACCTTTGCTTTTGCTCTTAGCCACCGCATCCCACCTTGCTAACTGATTATCAACTTCTTTCATTTGCTCCATCACTGACTCAAGTTTCTTGGTCGCTTGCGAACGGACTTCGGCGGCTACTAGAAATTCACCCCGGAGTTTGTCTTTCCGCTTCTCCAGAAATTTCCGATACCACTCAGCATTGAATGGATTATTGTCATCATTTCCGGCCATATTTGATCCCTTAGGGTTTCTGCTTGTTTGATTTTGTAGAGAAAGGATGAAAAGGATATGGAAAGGCTCTTGGAATTTTCTCAGAAAAATAAGTGAACTGTTAAACATCGCCCGCAAATTCCTACATAAAGCCCACAAAATAAGAGTGAAATGACACTTTTGCCCTCATACTAAAAAACACACAATTTCTCTCTCTACTCTCTACTTCCACTTTCTCTCTCTAAATTATTTCCAAAGCTATGTCGAGGCGGCCCGGCAAGGAAGTGGCGGCACCGGCGGTGGGCGGAAGGCGGTTTGCCGGCCAGAAGGTAAATTTTTTAATTTTTGTAATTTTTTTTTTAAAAAAAAAACCTCCGGCGACGGTGGGGCGCCAAGGCGAGACGCCACCACCACGGCGGAGGCGCCTAGGCAAGGCGCCCGTACGGTGGTGGCGGCGCCTAGCCCAGACGCCACTACCACGGCGGCGGCGCAGAGGCTACGCGCCACGGCCGTGGTAGTGGCGTCTGGGCTTGGCGCCGACACCACCGTACAGGCGCCTTGCCTAGGCGCCTCGTTCTTTTTTTTTTTAAAAAATTTTTTTTTTGTTTTTTTTTAATTTTAAATTTTATTTTCGATTTTTTTTTTTTTTTTTTTTTTAAAAATTTGTTTTTCTTTTTTTTAAATTGTATGTTCCCTTTTTTTTTTATCTTTTTTTTTTAAATTTTGTTTTTTTATTTGTTTTAATTTTATATTTTTTATGTTTATAATTTTATTTCCGTGACTTGTTTATTTGCTTTTGTGTTTATTTTCGACTTTTTTTAATTTGTTTTCGTTATTATGTTTCGTTATTTACTTGGAGTTAGGCATCGCAATTTAGACCTGGTGCGGGGAAGAGTATTGACGTCGTGAGGAGTACGATCTACTCAATGGAGAGCTCGGGGCCCAGACACGTTAGATCCCGTGGTATTTCGGCCTCGGCCCGCAGAGAACGGGTGCACTGTTCTGCGGACGATCAAGATGATGATGATGATGATGAGGAGGAGGAGGAGGAGGTCGAGGAGGAGGAGGTCGAGGACGAGGATGATGCAGATGAGGATGTCGACGATCAGAGTGGACCATATGATGATTACGGTCCATTCAGTCAGAGACTTGATGATACGTATGAGACGCATAGGGTAGATGTGCGTAAGGGTCGAGATGGTAGGTTTGTTAGTAGATCTGGCACA